TTTAGTCCTTCATTTTGTCATGTTTGCTACCAGATGCAGAAAGCTCAGTTTCCTTCTTCAGTAGCTGCACAGCAAAGGCCACTAGTGTCCCTAGTTTTCCTGTTGGTCAGGTTTGCCACTGAGTAACCTCTGAGAAGCGCTACTTAGTCTTGGGTTTTCCGGCAGTTGTTGCTTTGTATCTGGTTATCCCCAGTCTCAGACACAGGCATTGGTGTCACCCGATGGCCGACCGTCTGATCCAGCATCCCCTTGCATTTCAGGGCACGTGCACGGCCCAGACTCGGGTTGCACTGGTGTGACAATCCCAGTCCAGTGGACCTATGTCCCCAGGCAGTTCAGGTAGGCAAAACCCAGACACAAACTGCAGGGTCGACAGTTTGTGAACCACCTGATTCTGTGTCTCCAGTCAGTTCAGGACACATACTGGAACCAGATGCAGGCTGGGCGGGTAGCAATCACAGACTGCCCGTGCCTTCGACCCCCTAGGGGGTCCCGGTGAAAGTAAAGCACAAACTTGAACTGCAGGAACAGCAGCTCTTGGAGCACTCACTCACTTGGCGTAGGGTGCGTGGAAGGAGGGGCTGCACCCTGCCCCCGCCAGAGAAGTCCCTGGGGCTTCTGAGTGAGGACCTCCTCTCTGCTGCGGGTGCAGGGAGGGCAGAGAATCAGTCTGTAATGGTGGCGGGGTCCTAGGTTGCACACTCTGCCTTCAGAAAGTAGATGGGAAATACCTGGCTCTCTCCACAAGTTTCAGCTGGGAACCGTGGCAGTGTGAGTAAAGCACGGACTCGAACCACGGGACCTGCAGCTCCTGGAGCACTCGCGCACTCCTTAATTTATCTTTTTAACCTTGGTTTTCACTTTCTTAATTTTCTGTGGTATTCTTTGGGAGGCTTAAGATTTTTTTTCTTCTCCCTTCCCCTAACCTACTTCCCCACTACTTAAGAATTTTAGGGACATGATCTTCTGGTTTCATAATTGTAGAATGGATTGTTTGGGTTTGTTTCTGGTTAATTAATTTTATTGGTCACATTCATCATAGAGAATTTGTACCTGTACATGATATTCTTGATTCTTTCTTCCCCATTCTCCCACTCTCCCATCAACCTCTCTTCCCTTCCCTATTTACAAAAGCTTTGTTTCCATTTTTTTCTTTTCCCTTCCTTCCTTGCCCTCTCCCCGTCCTTAAAAACGGACATTTTGATTAAATTTAAAGTGTTGTTTTCTTCTCCCTATTATTTTTGGGTTCTACTAACTTTGTTTTGTCTGTCAACCTTTGTGCATAGTACGTTCTTCCTGTAAGGATAAATGCCAATTGCTGACAGGGTTCAGGACTCTGATGCTTGCTCATAAGCTCTTTGCACAAATGTGATGTTTATTCAAGATAAGAACATTGTAGTGACACTAAATTGTACTTGTCCTATCTTCATTCACAAAGCACATCCTTTGCACACTAGACTTAAGTAGCAAAGAGTGAATATAACCAAAGTTTGCTCAGATCTTTGAAAATGTAATTTGGCATGAAAATATGCTAGGGTTAAAGAGAAAGGTCATATGCTGTCACTTTTGACATCATTATATTTTTAGAAGGGTATCGTTTAAATTGTTCATTTATTCACTTATAGCCCCTGCATTGAACCCAGAGCCTCTTGCATGCTTAGCATGTGCTCTACCACTGAGGTGCATCCCTGTTAAATTGTTAAATCACAAAAAGAAGTGAGCTGCATATGGTAGTATACACCTATTATCCCAGCACCCTGGAAGCCCGAGGCAGGAGGATTGCAAATTCAACCCAGTGTGGGCAATTTACTGGTTTAGTGAGACCCTGTCTCAAAGAAAAAAAACCAAGAATGGAGAAAAAGAGCTGGTCATATAGTTCAGTGCAGAGGTTCTAGGTTCAATCCATAGTACCAGAAAAGAAGGGGGAAAAAAAAGTGAGAGCATTCTTGGACAGCAAGGCTAATAGTCTTTATTAAATGAAAAAGTGTTTTCCCTCACTCTAGTCATGTATATCCAGCACACTGAACCTTCACTAAGTGGAACACATATAGTCTGTCCTTGTGCCTGCCTCTGTGTATCCTGGCCTGTAGACAGCCTGTCAGGCCTGTGTAGCCCAAATAAGATGTATGCAGGAAAAGTCAGCAGGGGATAGACCATGCCAGTGAGCAAGGAAAGAAAGAAGCCCTCAGACAGCTTATATTTGGAGAACCAGGAAGGTTAGAACAAGGTGTGCTGTAAATATAGATGGCAGAGGTGATGTCTGCTTATGTCCCGAATTCTCCTCTCCTGAATTCTAAAAAGTGATGCTTTGTTGTTGTACTCAAGACTAGAGTCCATGTGCCAGGTAATGAAGACTCTCTCAGTCAGCCTTATTCTCCCTCTAAAGACTCTTTTCTTGCTACCCAGTTTTGTATGTACTTGTGTTTTAGCTATACTAGCTTTTTTTGTTTTTGTTTTTGTTTTGTGGTACTAATGATTGAACTCAGGACCTTTGTGCTGAGCTGCATCCCCAGACCTTTTTATTTTTTATTTTGAGACAGAATCTTACTGAATTGCCCAGACTGGGCTTGAAATTGTGATCCTCCTGCCTCAGCCTCCCAGAGTGCTAGTGTTATAGTGCTAGTATGGTTGTGCCCAGCCATACTAGGCTTTTGCTATTTTTTTCCCCTCTAACTTGTACCTTTACTCTGATTATTGTCTAGCTGAAGCACAGTTATCCAACCTTCTCTCCTAGTGAGGCGTAGCTTAATGCTGTTATATTTTTGAAGACTTCCCTGGTGCCTGAAATAAAAATGGCTCCTCCCTTTGCTGTTTGATAGCGTGCTATCATTCTGCATTCTGATTATTCCATTTGGATTTGTTTATGTTTGCATGTATATATATGGTGTCCCCACTAACCATAGGCACATAGGGCTGAGTTTATTTAGTTTGTTCCTTACACCTAGATGCAATAGGAAGTCTCTGAAATTTTGTTGGATTTGCAATGAAGAGGTACGTGGTAGTCAATAACTTAAAAGTATTCATCTGTGTAGAGTGTTGCATCCCTAGAGATAAAATGTTGAAATGTTTTACTATGTTTCTTATCTGTGAGAGTTGTCACAGAGAATTGTTGATGTGCCCTGGGGAAGGAAGGGTGAATTACAGTTTTGAGAAGATGACGCTCCTTCCTTGAACCTTTACTACTCAATATTTAGCGTCAGATTTCTTTATTGTGACTTTTTCCATACTATGTAGAGCATCTGTTAAGAACATCGTCAACTAGCCGACCTGCTTCTCTACCAAGAGTACCTGCTATGGAAAGTGCCAAGACCATCTCAGGTAAAGACTTTTTCGGATATTTTTCTTCCTTCGTATCCCCTCTTGCCCACCCTCCCTCCTTCTCTCTCTTACTCTTTTTCTTTTTTCTGTCTTTCTTTCTACTGGAGATTGAATGTAGCACCACTCACATGCTAAGCAAGTATTCTGCCACTGAGCTATATTCCTTGTTCTTTAGGTATTTTTTATTTTTGAGACAGAGTCTTGGTGTGTAATTCAGACCAGCCTCAAACTCAGTGATCTCCCTGCCTCAGCTTTCTGAACGTTGGGATTACAGGTGTGCGCCACTACACCTTGCTCTTTTTCTATATCTGAGACAGAGTCTCCCTAAATTGCCCATGCTAGTCTTGACTTTGTAATCCTTCTACCCCAGCCTCCTGAATATCTGAGATTACAGGCATGTGCTACCGAACCTGGCTGAAATTTTCTTTTAAAAGTTTTCTCCAGAAGTTTTTTAAGTGCTTACAGTGTATCAGCTGACATGTTGAAAACATAGGTTCATGTAAAGTTGGTAGAACTGGGAAAGAATATTTATCCTAAGATGTCTCAGAACTGATTTTGAAGTGTGGTTTGAAAGCACATCAAAATTATTTAGGGAAGCTAAACTTCCCAGTATCATGAAGACATCTGTAATGATGAATTTGATGAGCTTTCTTTGTCTTCTGGAGTTAACTCTTCAACTTATCGTTTATATTATTTTCTTTTGTGGCCTTTACTTACACTTAATAGGTCACCTGTAAAGTGGATGACTACAAAAGGAGAAATCTGTAACTCAGTGTGCTCAGTTAATGTCATGCTTATACATGGAGTGAACTAAGTACAGCTTGCTTGCTTTGCTTTCCAACATAATAGGATGTACATTTATGTTGTATTTTCTGTGGGTCAGAACTTTAGTACAGTTTTTTATATACCACCACAAGTCCTTAAAATAGTGAGAAGTTCTGTGATCAAATAAAATTACCACCCCTCCACCTTTTTCTGTGTGCTTTCTGTATAACAGAGTTCGTCAGATTCTTTCTCAGTCTGTTCTCTATTTCATAGACAATTTTGAGAGGTTTTTTTCATTCATTTTCCTAGCATACCACTGAAAAGAAGCTACTGGCTTAAGGCATAAAAATAACCAAAATTAAAAAAGAATAATTAGAAAATTATGCCAGAAATATACCAGAACTTGGTTCTAAGTTTATATAATAGGAGAAAGCATCTGTCCCCTTTGGACCTTAAAGGGCATCATTTTACTAATGCAGAGTTACATGCTACTGTTATGCTGAAATCATTAACAGAGTGTTGGACAATAAAATGGGAACTGTTTACAAATCAGAGAGGAAAAATTACTGCTGTGTAACATTAGTTGCATTAAAACCAGTTGTAATGGTACAGTTAATGGCTGCTGTTGGTCCATCCTCTTCTGAGGTGACAAAGGATTGCCTGAAGTTGGGGACTTTATCTGGTATCTCACTTCTCAACTCTGCTTAGCCCAGGTCGTCAGCACCTGGCAGTGTGATAGCCAATACAGCCTTGGTGAGAGCTGCCTTTGTTACTGCTATTATCAGAGGCCAGAGTGGCTGCTTCCACTTCACAGTTGTCAGGGATCTGAAATTCTAACAAGGGTATAATGTCTTAGTTTATCAGACTTTCAAAGTAGGACTTTCCTAAAAGATGGTGGCTGTTTCCCAGTAGTTATCGTTATACCTTTCTGTTTTGTCTCATTGATTTGTCTTTTAAAATGTGCCCTCAGAATTGTGTGTAACCCTATAATGCAGCTTCTTTCCTTTCTGTTCTCTTTAACTGTGTGTTTGGCTGAGTTCTGAAGGGATGTATTTATTTTAATTGTAGGTGCTGGGTAGAAATGAACAGTTCCCAGTATTGCTCTGGTTTCTAGTTGTAACTAAGTAGACATTTATACATTACTCACTGTATGTTTGGTAGATACTGTGAGTGGTACAGTGATGGGGAAGATAGCCCCACAGGGAAGGTGGGGTTCAGTGCATATTACAACTAGATATATATTTTTTCATAGATATTTTTCATGAAAAATTAAGAGCTTTTCGTCATCACTAATTTAAAGAAAGTGTTAGCTTCTCCTCCTGTAAGTTAACATTTTTTCTCTTTAGAATCTTGAGAAGAAAATATCTTAAGAATTGAGACTAAAATGTTTTTTGTTATAAAATGCCTAATGACTATTCTTGCAATCAGTAACTCGACGAAGTAGTGAAGAAATGAAACGGGACATCTCTGCATCTGAGGGAGCATCGCCAGCCTCTCTTATGGCTATGGGAACCACATCTCCACAGCTGTCCCTGTCCTCCTCTCCCACAGCATCTGTGACCCCAACCACTCGAAGCCGGATAAGGTAGTGAACAGTTAATGTTGGTGCATTGCCTGCCTGCCTTCCCAGGCTTTTAAGAGTAAATAATGAGCTTGTAAATAAAACTATATCTTCTCTTTCTTTTGGTATTAGTAAGTGTTGACTCCTCTCTTCTCTGTATAGAATTGGGTATAGAAGATACTGAACAAAACAAGAGAGACAGTTCATTTCCTTAAGCACTTGAGTTTTTCACTAGAGAATGGTTGAATACGAAAGTACAGGTTGAGCATCCCTACCTGAAAATCAGAATTGCAGAACTTTTGGAGTACAGATATCATCTTCCAAAAGTTTTGGATTTCAGGCTTTGGGGTTAGAGATGCTCAACCAGTAAAGCCTATGCAAATATTCTAAAATCCTAAAATCTTGGTAATCTGAAACACATTTAATCCAAAGCATTTAAAATAAGAGATACTCAGTGTGCATTGTGAAATATGAATCTTGAGGGCTATGAGTAGTGTTAGAGTTTCCTATAAAGGTGAAATTGCAGCAGGACCTTGAGGGTTGTAAATGGGGCAGGGCAGTACAAGAGAGGTGAGTAACTGGAGCAAGTATACAAAAGGGGTGAATAAGTGAGGAGTCAGGCATGTAGTAGGTAAAGGGTAGATTCAAGGACCAGAGGAGGTTGTAGCTATCATATTAGGAGGCAGTATAAGACAAGATTAAATAGCTAAGGTGAACATAATGGCACATGCCATGACTGAGGCAGAAACGTTACAAGTTCAAGCCAAGCCTGAGCAACTTTACAACTGAGACTCTGTCTCAAAGTTGAAAGAAAGAAAGAAAGAAAGAAAGAAAGAAAGAAAGAAAGAAAGAAAGAAAGGTAGACAGGTAGATAGATAGATAGATAGATAGTCAGACAGATAGCGCTAGGTAGGCATGGTGGCACACGGCTTTAATCCAGCACTCAGGAAGCTGAGCCAGGCGGATCCCTGTGAGTTTGAGGGCAACCTGAGCCACACTGCAAAACCCTGTGTAAAAAAAAAAGAAAAGAAAAAAAGAAAAAGGAATGGTTATATAGATCAGTGTAATGCCCAAGCTTCAGTCCCCAGTATTAAAAAAAAAGATTGACTAACAAGGTATGGCTAGATGATAGAATGTCTTTAAAGTCAAATTGAGTCACTTCAGTGAGGTGGAAGCAAAAAGTAGAGTACATGTATTTATGTGAGAAAATGATTCAAGTACTTTTCTAATTCTGGACAAAAGTTAGGGAAACCAGCAAAAAGGTTATTATAAGAGTCTGGAACAGAGTCATCAGATCTGAACCAGGGTGATAACAGCAGAAAAGAGCTAAAGAGAGGGCTGGGTCCAAGAGATATTTCAAAAGAAAAGGTAATCTCAACAACAGATTTTCTTTTTAAATCACAGGAATCCTAAAACTGTGAGGAGATATCAAAGGTGTTTCTAGGTATTTAGGCTGGAGGTTAGAGAGCATGATGCTACATTAATAATTGATAAGCAGCCCATGAAAATATGTTTATGTTTTATTCGAAGTTATGTCAGACACCACTTTAGACTAAGAAGTATTAAGAACTTAGAAGAAATTGATAAATGTCAGAAATTTAGCACATTGTTTTTAGGGATGAGGATGTTGTAAGTAGTCAGAATGGAAAGAGGGATAGTAAAGGGTTTCAGAAATTTAGTTGTATATTAATTTCTAGGTTTGATGACAAAGAAGTACTTAGCTCTCAAATTTAAATTATGAAGTTACTTTTAAAGTGCCACCTCAAGGGGCCCAACCTCCGAGACTAGTGGTCCCATAGGTACTGCATCTTGTGACCAAATTGTCAGTATAAGGCTGAGGGAGCCTAGGCCACTGTGACTGTGCAGGGGAGGGCCTGTCAGTGCTCCTCTTTGTGTCCTAGGTGAAAGTCTCCCCACGTTATGCCTGTGCAGATGGCACTGGCTGGGAGACACAGCACCTACTCCTCTTTTTCCCCCAATTTGGGAGCTGTGATCTTCAACACGGCATCTCCTCGCCTTAGTTTCCTCATTTTAGAATGAAGAAGAGGTAAGAAGTCACTCGCTAGATCCAGAGGACTCTTTTCTGCAGCTTTTCATTGTTTATCCTGATGCTTTTTAAGCTATTTCTGTAGCAAAACAGACCCTCTATGTGCCAGAGTAAACCTTTCAATTTATTGTGATACTTATTTTTAATATTTAGCATGACAGTTTTTCTGTTTTTTTTTTTTTGTCTGATGCTTTGGTTTTTTTTTTGTTTGTTTGCCCTTTATGTTCATTTTCATGTCTTTATTCTTTTTCTCTTTACAGTGATATAATAAACTTCTTTGAGCCTCTTACACATTAGAAATCTGATGTGCTGACATGCAAACACAAAAGTATATTTCTTCAAGGTAGCAATCTCACTGCATGTTGAAAAAAAGTTTGGTATTTTGGTTTTGGTTCTAAAATAAAAACTGGTACTATTCCAGTGCACTGCTCCATCAAAAGAGCTTCCATTCTACATGCATCCCCTTTATTTCATAGCAGACTTTGAAAGATGAATTCCTGACAGATTATGTTGAGAAATACTAACATTATTACCTCTGGAATATTTATTAGTATGCTGAGTTCGTGGAATATGTGGCTTGAGTTTTTGCTTTGCTTTATACACACTGAAAAATAGACCAATTTTTAAAGAGCATGCTACTTGTCAAGGAATGTTTTACAAAGCATTGTCTTTCTCCAGGTATTCCTTAGTGTTCTGCTTCCAGAGTAGCTGCTGAAAGGAAGGATTTGATGTAGAATGAGTAGAATTACGTGTCCCCTCTGCCTTATCACCAGGGGTGATTGCAGAATCTTCTTTATTTCATGGTCTATTCTGGGGCAAGATATTTATTCTGCCTATAAGGCAATTAATCATACTATAAAATACATTACGTAGAATTTTTGAGATGAATTACATTCAGTTATTGGTGGTGCTGGGGATCAAACCTAGGGCCTTCTACATGCTGGGCAAGCAGTCTTAACACTGCACAGCCCAGCTGTTGAATTTTTTTTACCCAAACTTCAGTAGTATGTCCATTGTGTAGTAAATTCTGAGGTTCCTTGAGGGGCAGGGATCCTGTGTTCACCATTGATTGTCCAGCACTTACACACTCACTGGCATAATGCTGCTCCACATAATATGATACTGGATATGAGTGAGTGAGTCTACGGAAAATTTCCATTTCCTAGTAAGATAAAACTCTTAACTCCCTACAGACAATGAAGAGTGTACAACTTGCCAGGTACTGTGCCATGCCCTTGTATCCCCAGCACTTGAGAGACTTAGGCAGGAGAATCACTTGAGCCCAGGAGTTTAGGACCAATGCAAGCAATATAGCAAGACCTTGTCTCAAAAACAAAATTCTATGCACATGAACAGTTAGCACACTTGAAATGTTTTATGGAAGTGATAAATGTTTTTAATGTTTATTGCCATCTTTGGTCTGTTTTAATCTGCTTCCCCCAGTTGTGAGCCCCATGAAGACAGGAGTTATATCTTAGAATACTCCACCTTATGTAATCTTGCCCTTTGTGTTTATAGTAAGCAATCCAAAAATTTATGTGATGATTAAGGAAATAAAAAGTAAAATAAACCAAAGTATAAAGATAATAGAAGGGTAAAACACTAAAGGAAAGGCAGCCAGGATGATTTCATGTGGCTCCCACACTCTAGCACCCTGGAATGCATACTCTTAATTGTTAATGTACTTGATAAAAAGTATTTCCTCTTTCCATATGTGTAGTGAGTAGAGTCTCTCCCTTCAGATCTCGGAAGCCCCTCACAGCTGCAGGTCTGTGGGGCCATAAACTAACAATAGAGAAAAATCAAATGAAGGAGAAGATATGTGTTGGCATTAAATGGCATTTATCCTGTTCAAAAAATGTAAACTAATGCTATACTCTAATTTTGGTGCTCAAATACAAAATATTTTACCTTTGGGCTTGTTTTCACTTATCAGAGAAGAAAGGAAAGACCCTCTCTCAGCACTGGCAAGAGAATATGGAGGATCAAAGAGGAATGCCTTGTTGAAGTGGTGCCAGAAAAAAACAGAAGGCTATCAGGTAATCATATGGATCTTGTGTTCTCAGCAAGCAGTTGATAAACCAAGTGCTGAAGTATCTTAACTCACATCATATCTTGTATTCAAAATGACTCTTATACCAAATTTCAGGGACATTCTCAAAGTCAACCTTTGCAGGGTAGCCAGTCTTTCGAATATATTTTTATTCAACTCTTACAGCACTTTAGGTCAAGATTGAATGCTTTTATTGAGATATCATTTGCGCTGAGGGTGAAAAATACATGTATTTCACTTAAAATTAATAGCTTAATTATATATACATTCACATTTTAGTTGTTTTTGATAACTTTAAAATTCTCATTGTGTTTTGTCCACTTGTCATTTCACATCTGGACTATGTAATTTCCTACCATTTCCTCTCCTGTCTGTCTCTTTCGATTTTTTATTCAGGTTTTATTTTAAATGATGTTACATACTACTTTGGAGCTCTAATTCCACACAAAATAAAAACTTCTAAAATGTGTCCATTAGAATGCTAAAACATACATTTAGATTCCTAGTATCCTCACATAGGATTTTAGTTGCAGACACTTTTCACAGCTTGCAGCTGGTTGTCGTCATACTTTGGTATAAATATGAAACAGTTCAATACAAGAAAGTAATTAGAATTCTCTGTTCTTGGTCCCATCACAATAGCCTTCATTCAACAAAATGGCAAAAAGGAACTAACTGTAACATATGCAGATAACTGTCCACAAGAGGCAGTGAAGTAGTAGAAGAGCTGAGTAAGAAGTATGAAAATTCCTAGAAAAGTAAACACAGAATTACCATGTGATCTGGCAGTTCCATCTCTGAGTATACACCTAAAAAGATTTGAAAACAAGGGCTTAAAGAGATAATTTTAAGTACACCCCTGTTTGTAGTACATAATTCACAATAACCAAAAGTAACCCATGAAGCAACAAATAAATGGATGGACAAAATTTAGTATATTCATATACTGGAATATTTCTCATACACTCACTTTATGGGCACATGCGCACACGTGCACATACATAGACACACACAGTCACCCTTCCTTAAAATAAAGAAAATTCTGACACATTCTGCAGTGTGACCCCCAAAATTAAAAGAGGAAATATTTCTGTCTTAGTTACTTTTCTCCTTGCTGAGATAAAATATCCGACACCCAAAGTTAAAGGAGGAAAGGTTTATCTAGCTCACACTCTGTGGAGGTTGCAGTACATAATCAAATGACTCCAAGGTAGGGCGGCATGGCAGACAGGCATTGCAGAGGAGAAACAGCTCATGTTGGGCAGAAGGTAGCAAAGCAACAAGGGGCAAGACAACCCCAGGCTACCAGGATTAGGATAATGCCAAAGCAATCAGTGGACTGATTTAGTAATCACGCACCTTTAATCCTAGCATTGCACTGTGAATCAGTCATATACTCTGAATTCAGCCACTTTTGAAAAAGACCCACCTATGACTACATGAAGCTTTACGGGGACATCTAGACGGAAGCCATAAGAGCTACTATATACCAGCTGGACCCAAAAGATTTATCAGATGCTTTATCCAATAATGGCAGCAGAATATACTTTGTTTTCAGGTACATATAAACATGTTAGGACAGGTATGTGTTAAGTCATAAAACTAACATAAATTTTAAAAGACTGAAATCTTTTCTTATCACAATGAAAGGAAATTAGTAATAACAGGAGGAAACTTGGAAGATTCACAGGTATGTGGAAATTCAACCATTTACTGCTACATAACAAGTGAGTCAAAGAATAGGTAGCAAATGAGTCAAATAACTAGGGAAATACTTTGAGGAAAGCAAAAATGAAAACACAGCATACCAAAATGTATGGTAGTAAAATTTTGGCAGGTACTGAAAGCAGTTCTCAGAGGAAAATTTATAACTGTAACTTTTAATAAGAAAAATTCAGCTGGGCATGGTGGTGCATGCCTAAATCCCAGCACTCGGGAGGCTGAGGCAGGAGGATTGTTGTGAGTTTGAGACCAGCCTGGGCTACAAAGTGAGCTCAAGGCCAGCCTGAACTGCATAGTGAGACCCTGTCTCAAAAAGACCAAGAAAAAAAGAATAGAAAAATTCAAAATAGTAACTAAGTTTCTGCCTTAGAAAAGTAGGGGAAGTAAAACAAACTAAACCCAAAGCAAGCAGAAGGAAGGAAATAGTAAAGATGAGAACAAAAATAAATAAAATAAAAAAAGAAAAAAGAAAAATGGAAAAAGTTGATTCTTTTAAAAGATCAACCAAATGACAAATTTCATTTAGATTAACCAAAAATGAAAGCAGACTATAAAATTACTAAAATGAAGAATAAAAGAGGAGGCCAGGTGTGGTGATGCACACCTGTAATCCTAGCACGTAGGAGGCATCATTGTGAGTTTGAGGCCAACCCTATCTCCAAAAAAAAAAAAAATTAGGCATGGTGGCACATGCCTGTAATTTCAGCACTCAGGAGGATCACCAGCAGTTCAAGACTAGCCTGAACTATGTGGCACAACCCTGTCTCAAAAAACAACAACAAAAAAGGCGCCAGGTGTGATATTGTACACCCATAACCCTAGCACATGGGTAGCCAAGCCAAGAGGATTGCCTTGAGTTTGAGGCCAGCCTGAATTATATATAGCGAGACCTGATCTCACAAAAAGGGCCTGAACTATTCCCAGGTATGTCAAGGTCCCTGCTTATAATTTCAGCAGTCTGGAAGGTGGAAGAGAATGGCAAGTTTGAAGCCATCCTGGGCAGTTCGTTTGTTTTTTTGTTTGAGACTGGCCTCGCTATACAGTTCAGGCTGGCCTCAAACTTACTATGTAGCCTAGGATGGCCTTGAACTTGTAGCAGTCCTTCTGCCTCAGCCTCCCAAATGCTGGGATTACAGGCATGTGTCACCATGCCTGTAATTTAGGCAATTTAGGAACTTTGTAAGAGGCTGTCTCAAAATTCTAAAGGTTATTTTAAAAATACAGCTGAGCTTGTAGCTCAATGGAAAGGTGTTGTGTTCAATCCCCAGTACCAAAAATAAAGCAGAGAATGTAGCTCAGTGGTAGAATACCTCTGGGTTCAGTGCCTCAGAAATGGGGAGAAAAAAGACCTTGAAGTTCAGTGTTATGTAGGGTTGGGCAAATTACTTAGCCTTTTGTTTTCCTTGGTAAAGTGGAGTAGTAACTAGGACAGGCATAGTTTTTTTTATCAGGTACTGTCTTTTTTAAAAAATATTATTATTGCGTTTTGTTTTCGTTTTTGTTTTTGCTTTTGTTTTTTATGTATGTGGTGCTGGGGCTCGAACCAAGGGCCTTGTGCATGCAAGGCAAGAGCTGTACCACTGAGCCACATCCCCAGCCTCCCTATCAGGTACTATCTTTAATAGATTGCTTTTTTCTTATTAGGTGTCTTCTTGTAAGCTTTAAATTTTCATAGAATTCTACTTAAAGTTAATAATTTTTATTGTGCTGACTGGGTGATATTTGTAATATTGGGGGATTAATCCCAGGACACTCTTACAGATCTGCAGCCCTAGCTCTTATTTTTTTATTTGGAGACAGGACCTTGCTAAATTTAAATTGCTCAGGCTGGCCCCAAACTCTTAATCTTCCTGCTCCAGCCTCTCTAGTAGCTACAATTACAGATGTAAGCCACCACATCTGTTTTATGCATAATTTTTAAAGTACTGCCCCAAAGTTCCCATGGAATGTTGCCATGACTCAAGTTGATTAAAGGGAGATAATTTAAGCATTAAATCAATGATTTAATATCCTTGAGTCCATCCAATTTAAATTCTCTGATTCTATGATCTTAGGATATTTACATTGTGTTATGTTGAAAAATATACATAAATCAAGTTATTTCAATTAGTAATTTTTCAAGTTCTTTCATTTACTTGGTGCTTATAGTGCAAGAAGAAATAGGATGCAAACAGAATGGTTAATTGTACAAAAAAGAAAACCTTTTTTGTATACTAGACAGTCTTTCCTACAAGCCCAGTTGCCCCCATTTGTACTTACAGTGTATCTGTATGGCTTTTTTGAGAGGGGGTTCACTTTTGTTTTCTGTGAAACAAATATCTGCTCTTATCCTTTAAAAGTAGATGTATTGGGTTTTAAAATTTGAAGATCTTTTAAGTTAAAATCAGTCTGAAATGCATAACATTTTTAAGCTGAAAGATTTGCTAGAGCTCTTATAAGAGCTCTCAAAAGCCATATGATAAGTGCCAGATCCTTTTTCCTATTTAGCTGTGTGGGTGTGCATACCTATTCTTTACTGTCAGTAAGTTTGGGTTCAGGCCTTTGGTCTCTTCCTGTGCACAGTCTGCAGGAAAAGGCAGGTTGTGACATTCGACTGGGTAAGTCAAGCAGGGACTGTTACGTGACACTTAGCACACAGTGCTCCCACAGGCCCCAAATGTATCATTAATGTTTGGATCATGCATGCTTTATGTCGAAGAAGCTGTCTAATCAACGAAGATAGATTCCCTAATACCCCTATCTTGTTTCACTAACTCTTTTAAGAGTCATCCTAAACTTAGTGTGATCCCTGTAATTTCATTAACCATCCATTACAAAACAAGCCCTGGTGAGTTTGCCTTTTATCTGACAGATAATTTTTCTCCTTTAAATTGTGCACTACCATTTATTAATCACTGAAGTTTTAGAATACTAGAGTATTAGTGTTGAAAGGGCCTTGATGTTCTAAATTACTGTCAGGTTAACAGATGTGGGACAGAAACCCCACGTAGGTAAATGTTGGCCCAGAGATTCATCATGAGTCCATGGCATTATATTAGCAACCTTTAGAACTGTGGTTGTAAGCGCTGAGTCTTCCTTTCTTTTTCTTTCTTATAACTACTATACTGGTTTGCACACAGTTATGTTTTAAAATTTGCTTTAAGTACGGAATTAAGACCAATAAATTGTCAACAGATTATAGTGAGAACTGATACTCCCCTGCCCTATTCCCTTACCTCTTCGAAATTGCTTTCCTAAGGCAACCACTTTTAATTCTTTAGCTGT